GAACTGAGGCTGCTCTTGAGCTGGAGGAAGAAGGATCCCCGACATGCTGTCCCAGGGGGGCCAACTCCTCACAGCAGGAGGCCGTGCTGAGAACCGCGTCCGCAAACTAGTGGACAAAGGCCTGGGCTGAGAGTCAGGCATTGTGATCCCCGCCTGCCCGGGACGCCAGTGGGTGGGTGGTCTCTGAGCTGCAGTGGAGGTTAAACCAGAGGCTGCGAAGCATGGCCCCGACCCGCCCGTCGATGGATCGATCTGTCGGAAGATTGGGTATTGCCCGGTGCCAGGCAGGGCAGTGTTCAGTGAGCCTCCGGCCCCTCCCTGAGCCTTCTCTGACTTGTAACGGGATCCTGGGCTCAGCGACAGCTCTGCCGGGGCTGGGAGCTCAGGTCTGAGGCCGGGCTCAGGGCTTTCAGTCGGAGGGTTCTGGAACCCGGGTGTCCGGGGGTGGGGGGCGGCAGCAGGGGAGGCTGATGCCCTGAGCATCAGGAGTGGGTTTCCCCCCTCCCCCCTGGCTTCTGATCCAATCCCCACGTCAGGTCACTTGTAAGATAATGAGACCCCCTCAACCTAGTACTGATTGCAAGGCCCCCACTGAGTTCTCGAGGGACTCCTCCAACCAAAGCTCCTTCCCTTTCCCGTGCCCACCTGCCCCCCGCCCCCCGCAGGGTGGAGAGAGTCACAGAAAATGGGGCTTGCAGCCAAGCACGAGGCGGCCCTGCTCCTGGGGCCCTCCTCCGCCCGCTCCTTATTTGTAGAAAAAGGCTTTGGTGCCCTGGACCTCCCCCGACTCCACAGAGCACATTCAGCAGTTAGTCACTGGCTCCCAGGGCCTCCTGCAGGGACAGAGATAAGATGGTGAATGTCTCCCTGTGGAAACTGAGAGCCACACCCTCTTCCTGGGACGATGCCCACGAGCCGGCCGCCGGCTGGGGCCAGAAGGCTGAGAGGCACCTGGACCTCTCCACCAGCCCTGGGGTGGTCACGCACCCAGAGACCCTCACCCCCCCAAACCGCCTGGAAGGCTACGCGGAGCTCGGGAGTTTTAACATGAGTTTCCTGTTGGCCTCGCTCAGCACCTGCAGATGAACCCTGACCGCGGCAGACACCGGCTCAGAAGCGCTGGGCTGTCTGTGCCACAGGCACACGCACCGTTGCTCTGTGACCCCCTCACACAGGAAAATCTGTCACGTCCCCGGTGCATCTGCTTAAACACCAACCTTCTCAAATTAGCTCTGCCGGTGAAACAGAACCATGGAAAACCAGGCCTGCGTGCCCTCGTGAATGATGGGGGAGGACAAGTGAGAGAGAGAGTGCCCTGTGACTGTGAGCGTGTGAGTGTGGATGTGTGTATGTGAGTGTGAGCGTGTGTGTGTGTGTGAGTGTGGGTGTGAGTGACAGAGAGTGTGTGTGTGTGTGTGTGTGTGTGTGTGAGTGTGGGTGTCAGAGACAGGGGCCTCACAGAGAAATGAACACTCATTGCAGAGACCTGACTTTATTTGAAAACCCCGCAGCTCACAGGTATTTGTAGGATCACTCAGAAACGTCCATAAACACCCTGCCCAGGCTCACCCTTGTTCACGCCCTGCCCCGTGAGCTTGGCAAAGGTGTCCCCACTATCCCGGACACATGCGCGTGCATGGTTAGTCACACAGTCGTGTCTGACTCTGCGGCCCCAGGGACTGTAGCCTTCCAGGCTCTGTTTTAGCCATGCCTTCCGGGAAACACACTCACTCAGAAGGACAATGCGAATAGTGGAGTGCAGTTTATTACACCGGCGGGCCCAAGGCAGAGTCTACTCTTAGCCAAGGACCCCGACCAACTTTTGTGAAAACCTTGTATACCCTAAGTGTACTTGCTCAAACCCACCTCCCCAAATTCCCTGAAACTAGTCTGGACAAGGTAAAAGAATACAGTCAAAGTTAACCCATGATTCATGTGTCCAAAGGCTAGATAAACAGTGGAATTTTATCAATAGGCCTGTGGTCATATCCCGGTAAACATAATGGAATTTCCCACTTTGTTCTGTTAAGAGATCATTAGCATACTCTTTTGGGCAACGGAGAGCCCAAGTACAAGTCCTGAGGCTCTTTTATCCGGGGGCCTGGTTTTCCGTTGGTATGCCATTTCTACAGACATCGGGCACGGAGCTCAGAGTCCGCTGGGAGGTGACCATGCGTGCAGCCTGATGTTCGCAGCCTGGGCGAAGACGGAGCCCAGCTCTGTCTGTTTCCTCCAGGCTCCTCTGTCCGTGGGAATCTCCAGGCAAGAATCACAGCGTGGGTTGCCATTCCCTTCTCCAGGGGATCTTCCCAACCCAGGGATGGAACCCGGGTCTCCTGCGTTGCAGGCAGATTCTTTACCATCTGAGCCACCAGGGAAGCCGCTGCAACGGACACAGGCGATCGTGTGTAAACACGCACCCTCTCCCGAGCCGCGTGACCATGGCCGCACACGTCACGGACCCTCTGCAGACCTCGGAGCGGGTTTCCTTAGCCGACGGAAGTTCTCTAACACAACCACAGAGCCACGGTTGAGGGTGGTAAACTCAGCACTGACATGAGGTTTCCATCTAGTCTCTGACCTGACCTGTGGTCCGGTTGCGTCACTGACCCCAGAGTGTCCTTCATCCTTTTTGTTTCTGGGACAGGATCTCTTCCAGAGCCACACATGGCTTTTGGATTTCTTGGCCCCTGGTCTCCTAGCTCCTGCATTCCCCTGCCCTTCAGTTGCAGGCAGCTTGGCGGGGTTGGGGGGGGGGGGCTGCACACAGCGGGGGGCCATCTGCTCCTCCAGCAAGGCAGACCCAGCATCAGCACCCTCACCCGACCCCCAGCACGTCCCTGGATTTTGACGGGTTCCTTCCATCCCTGGGCAGCTGGGAGAATGCCTGCAGGCAGGGGGGCTGATCCTTCGGTGGTCTCCGGGCAGCCTCAGTTTTCTGCCCTGAAAGGAAGGACGGGGGTCCAGGGAAGAGAAAGAGGGCTTCAGGGACCCCAGCGTCCCCCCCCCACCCCAGGCCCGAGGAGGCACTGACAATACTGTTGCCGATGGCCAAGGGGCCAGAGAAACAGAAGGGAATCACGGCCCGGAGTCACTGTCCCGTGGTCACTGACACAGTGATCCCGAGTCCGGCGGTCGCTGACAGAGGCGTGGGATAAGCAGAGCTCCCGCGGGGCTGGCCCGAGAGGCCAGGCAGAACCAGCGGGCTCGTACTAGGTGAAAATCCCCCAAACCCTTTTTAAGGTGAAATGTAAGCAATTTCAGGCTATCTGCTCTCTGGGCCAAATCTAGCTGTTTCAGAATTTGGAAATCTTCAAAGGAAAACTGAGAGCCCTGGGAGCATTATGGATGCTCAGAACCCAAATGCCTTTTTAAGAGAAAAGGTGTTTCAGAGTCAGACGCTGGCAGATCTGATCTGGCTGATACTGTTTATTCACTCCCGGGGGCTTCGAATATACCCCGCCCTTTCATTTTTCTGATGGAAAAAAATAGGCATCTGTTTCAGAGATCAGATCCTGTTCTCCTTCACACAGCATTTAACTCTCCACCTCTGCAGCGGGGCCCTCTGTCTGGAGCACCCCTCATCTGCGCACTCCGCTCGCTGTGTCTGACAAGCCTGCGTTCGGTCTGTCAGCTGGTTCTGCAAATGAGCTAAGTCGCCGATCCAGAATTAGCAGGACTGGGCTTCCCTTTTTATTTTGAGACTGTGATGGAGGAAAGACACAGCAGCTGGGCGGTCAGGCCTTTCTCAGTCTCAGCGAATGGAGGGGCCTGCTCTTGGCAGGCCCCAGGCCAGCGGGGTGGGCGGTGCCTGCAGGCCACTGTGTTCCTCCTCTGGGGCCCAGGCTCCCCGGGCGGGAGAGATCGGAGACTGGAGAGCAGCTGGATTGGTCACCAACCCACCCCCTGGGCTTGGGGCTGCCCATTCCTCCTGGACGGCATGGAGGGACAGCGGCGCTGGCGGCACTCAGCGCGTGGCACGGCCCCAGCATGCCTCTCACGGACTATTGCAGGCCCCACGTCCCAGATGAGGAAGCCGGAAACACAGCACCAGCCAGCGAGTCAGGGTGGACCCGGGTGAGACCCCCAGGAGCCGGGCTCACCCCCACGCTCCCCACGGCCTGCTCTTCCCAGGGGCCTTCGGGATCCACCCGTGCTCATCGAGAGGCACGGGTGTCACGGCCACGCAGCACAGGCCGGCACCCATCACTGTGATGCCGCCCCCGCCAGCTTCCCGGGCTCCCCCAGCGTCTGCCGGGTCCCGAGCTCATCCCCAGGGCACTGGGAGACCGGCAACAGGTGGTTTGGCTGTGGATTACAAGGGCCCACGGGGGACCTCCATCCCCACGTGGCCCCAGCCTCTGTGAGGCCGTCTCGCTGGAGCCCAGAGCCCCCGAGCCTCTCCCAGGGAGCGGTCAGGAGGCTCTAGGCAGCATTACAGCCCCCCAGAGGCCTGATTCCTTCCCCAAGCTCAGCCTCAGTCTCTTCTCTCTGTCAGCACGATCAGCTCCAGGGAGAAGCCCCAGGTCTAAAGAAACACAGAGAACGTGGGAGAGGCCCCGAAGGGGGAACCGAAACCAGCCCTGCTTCCACAGCCAGGCCATCACCTAGCAACCAGCGAGGGACGCTGCTTGGGCTGCAAGGACCTGGGCCTTCCCCCTGCCGGCCCGGGACCCGAGAAACCCCGGCCAGAGCAGCCTCGAGGCCCAGGGCTGAGCTCCTGGAGGCCGGAGAGCCCCCTTCTCCCAAGTGCCGCTCACCAGGCACCTCCGCCGCTGATGGAACCCCAGGAGGCGGCTCGTGGAGAAGCCGGGTGGGCCCTGCAGGAGCTCTCAGGACACTTCGTGCAGGGAACAGGGGCCACTCTCCGGACGGCGGGTCTTACTGATCGCGACGGCTCCCTGACCCGCGCCCCGGCCCTGCGACACCGCGGCGGGTGCTGAGCAGACGGCATCAGAGGCTGCGCCTCAGGCCTCCCCCGGGAGCCTTTCACACCAGCCATGGCCGGCGCAGGGGCCCAGGCCCCGGGCTTTGCCTCCAGCTGCCCGCTGACAGCTGGGACCCCAGGTGGAAAGAGCCGTTTGGGTCTCTGTCCTGCAGGTGAGGGCAGGAGAAGCTGCTCAGTTCAGCTGAGCACTGACTCCGTGAACGCCGGCCGTTCTGTACCCAGGCCCACGTGGTCGACGCAGACCGCAGAGCGAGCGGGCTGGACGCCTCGTGAGGAAACGCACGGCTGGTGTCAGCCGGATCCTGCTGCCCTTGGTGAGGCCGTGGCCTGGCAGGGGCTTGTCTGCGCCCCCGGGGAGCCCCAGGTGCAGCCGAGCTGAGAGCCCCTGTGCCCGTGGAGGAGCACCCTGGGGGTCCCCTGGAGGGTCCACTCCTTCAGCCAGCCCAGAAGCTGCGAAAGCCGGTAAGCAGACAGTCTTGGAGGGAAAGGGGTTCTTGAACAGATGAGTGTTCTCAGCTCGATGTCAGCCCAGGCCTTGCCCCGCGCTACAGCCTGAGCTCGCTCCTGCCTGGAACTGTGTTCCTTCCGTCCGTCCTGACTTTGTTGCTGAATCAGCACAAACACGCAGTCAGGTCAGTGAACGGCCACTTGATGCCACAGCCGTGCAGGCGGGAGGCATCCATCCCGGTGGACACGTAGCCGCAGTCACTTCGGATAAAACAACCCAAGAGGCAGAAATGAGGTGCAGCTGCCCAACTTCCCATCAGCAGCCTCCGCTCTCCATCCACCTCCCGTAACTCAGGGACCAAAACGCTCCCCCTCCTGGCCTCCACCTTAAAGCTTAGCTCACTTACCTGGAAAAGTGGTGAAAAGCAGATAAGTTAATTTTCTTTAATATGCAAATAGGTGGAAAAGGCCTAGGAGGTTTACTTTCTTTGAGACATTTCTATTCCTTTAGCAACAGGACCTGAAAGACTGAAAGTTGGTTTCCCCATCGTCTCTCATACTCTACACGTCCTTCAGGTAAGGGACACCTGCCCAGACCCCCACGGGCTTTTCCAGAAGGTCCGTGCAGCGCACAGCCTCGGCGGCAGTGTGGCTGGCACCCCGGAGCAGAGGGTAGTCATATCAGTCACCTACAAGGAAAGATCCCCGTGCCTGCGTGAGGGGATCCTGCGTGTGCGGACCCCGCCCGGCCTTCGGCGCCCCCCGTGGGGCTTGGACGAGGGGACCGCTCGGTCCTGCCGACGCCCATGCTGCCTGCTGGATGCTGCCAGGAGCGACACCGTTCTTTGTCCCTGACAGGGTCTCCTGACTCCCGCCGGACCCGGGGCCCGTGGGCTACCATGAGAGCGCGCAGTCGGGTACAGCTCTGGACACGGCCTTCCTACAGTGACTGTCAGAACAGATGACCCACAGCAAGATGGAGCAGCGTGGGGAAACGGCAATTTAACAGGTAAACCGGCAAGTCTAGAAACACCGCAGGAAGGCCAAGACCCTTTTTACAGAGTTAAAGACAACCACACTCACACAGTTTTTAGGAATGCCTACGACGCAGAGCCACAGGGAAAAGAGAGCAAGGTGAGGACAGACACGGGATTAGGGGGTGGTTCCCTGGGATGGGGGAGGGGCTGGCATGGGCGGGGCCGAGGTGAGGTCACGAGGTTCAAGGTCGGGTACAGTCAAGCCCAGCTGCGCTTGGGGTGGTGCGTTTATAACACTTACTGCATTATCAGAAGTGACCAGCGAGGGACTCACCCACCATCCACTGGCCAACAGTGAAAGTGTGTTAGTCCACTGTGTACACCCGAGTCTGGTTAAATAGGGATTGATAATATTGACTAAATTAATAAATGGATAGGTAGATGGATGAATGGATAATTGACAATGCAGTAAAGCTTGATCACCCCCAAAATCTTCCTTGCTGAGGTGATAATCTGGGCAGAGAAGATTACAGGAAACATTGGTTTAAGACAACGGAGAACCAGGGCCAGGCCATGTTTCTTTTACACAAACAGTGATGCTATTGACGTCTCACCCCGCGGAGGCCAGACACCCCCTTCCAGTCCCACCATGGGCCTCCCTGAGCTGTGCCAGGCGTCCGCAGGGACTTGTCCGTCTGATCAGCAGAGCTCCTAGAAAAGGATTCCCCTGGGTGAGGGGGCCAGGGGGTGGCCCCTAGAGCCCCAGAGGTGCGAGGGAGCCAGAAAGAGCACAGAACCGTGGTTCCGGCTCCTGCGGAGTCACCAGGCCTGGCGCAGAGCACAGACGACCCAGGGGCCGGCTCGGGCGCTCGGGCCAAGACACAGCGTCCTGATGGTGGCTCAGAGCCCAGCCCGATCCCCCAACGCCGCCCGCTGACTGGGGCAGTCCAGGCAGCCTGGGGAGCCCTGCACGGGGCTGCCTCTCTCGGGACCTGACTTTCACCCGGGGCCCCCAGCAGAGCCAGGTTCCCCCTCAGAACCCACGCAGCCTGCGCTGACATGCTAGGAAGGGCTGCAAGTTACAGACTCATCCAGGGCTCAAGGCCTGAGAGCACCCTTCCCAGCGGATTTTCCCAGAAGGCAGGGCTGTCCTGGGCCGAGAACGGCTTGCGTGATCCCAGAACAAGGAGCTAGTGTGTGGCTCCATGTGGTGTGTGCTAAGTTGCTTCAGTCGGGCCTGGAGAAGGAAATGGCAGCCCACTCCAGTCTTCCTGTCTGGAGAATCCCGTGGACAGAGGAGCCTGACAGTCCACATGGTCATAAGGAGTCAGATACGGCTGAACGGCATCAACAGACGGCAGCCCACCAGGCTCCTCTGTCCATGGGACTCTCCAGGCAAGAATGCTGGAGTGGGGTGCCAAGACTCCTCCAGGGCATCTTCCAGGGATGGAACCCGCATCTCTTATGTCTCCTGTGTTGGCAGAAGGGTTCTCCACCTGGAGAGCGTTAATGTTTCTTCGTAGGAAGTAAGGTAATAACCATTCAAGAGCCAGGCCATCCGGAGCTTGCCGGGGGATTCTCGGTCAAGGAGCCTTGTGACCTCCCGTGAGCCCCCACTTTTGTAGTCTCCGTGAGTAAGGCGGGCGGTGGCCCCTCCTGTGTACTGAGATGTTGGAGGTCTGTGCCTGGACAGCCCCTGCCCCAGATGCAAGCTCCGGCTCCCAGCCCCTCGAAGGTGCAGAGCTCCTGCAGGGGGATGCCCAGAGCCCCCTCCTTGTCCACCGTCCTGCGCGGACGCGCCGTCGAAGCTCTGGAGGTTGCTGTTGTCCTTCTGCGGCCTCTGGTCAACAACACCCGCCCCCGCCGGTCTGGGAAGAGATATTAGACACTGCCTGTGAAGCTCCTGACCTCATCGGAGAAAGTGCTCTGTGAATCTGAGGGATTAAAAATAGAAGCAAAACCAGAAGACGTCTGAGCACAAGGGTGAAAATTTCCTGTGCCGCTCGATCAGCCGGCGTCTGACTGAAGGTGAAGGGCAGAGCTGGGAGGCTAGAGAGTGGAGGGCAACCGCGTGCGGAGCAGCCGGCGGGGCGGGCAGACGCCAGCGTCCCCGGGAGGCCTGTCCGGACTGCACTTGGACGCTCATAGCAGTCACGCCTTGCCGCTTGCCGCTCCTGGGGGTGGCCCGGCCGAGCACCCAGGGGGTTGGGGACACGGGGCCCACCGTTCCCTGGACCTGAGCCTCACCCCTCCAGGGAAGGATGCCCAGAAACCTCTCAGCTGCCAGCCCATCCTGTGGCACTATGCAGCAAGGATTTGGTCAAACCCCTGCAGGGCCCGGGTCCCTCTCCTGCCCGGAGTTGGCGGCCCTCAGAAGCCAGAACCTCGACCCTGAGCGCGGCTGCCTTGCTCTGAGCCGGAGTGCTGCCGCCTTTCACTGCTTCCCCAACACTAGGTTGTGAAGCCTTCTAAGCTTCCCATTTGCAAACAGCTGTGTGCACACCATCCGATGCTGCACAAACGCCATGTGATCCTTCTACCCAGGCCTCCGCTCCAAAGCCTTCTTGCTATTTATGTTTCAGATGACATCACCGACAAGACACGAACCCCTCCTCAGCCCAGCTCTGCCACATCCTGGCTATGTGATCTCGGACGGCCAGCCCCCGCTGGTCCCTCGTCTGTAAGAGGTGCCCGCACGCGGACCCAGCATGACGGCGCTGCACGGACGTGTTAGCGCCCCAATCGCTGGCCCGTGGGCAGATCAAGACCCTGCAGGACTCGCTTCCTTGTTCCGACACAGCCACCTCCAAAGCAGCTTTCCCGGAAGGACCAGGACTGCACGATGTCATCACAAGCAGACGCAAGCCCGAGGAGAGAACTGACAAAGGAGACTGTCCCCACGCCCCTGGGCTCGGGGACCAAGTGGCGCTGGCCACACAGGGCCTGCCCTCGGCGCACGGTGGCCACTGCACACTTGCCCGCAGGGTGAATGCAGGGGCCCGGCATTTGCCAAGACTCTGAGCCGAGGAAACAGAGGCCGGCCCCAGGACTCAGGCGTCTGCTAATCTGTGCTGTGTCAGATTTTTCTCCTCGTGAATAGTTTCAGATATAGAGAACGCTTAAGAAAAATAACCCACTGCCCTTGACTGTTTGCCTTCTTTTTCCTGTGGGTCCGTTTCATGTAGACGTGGTGGCCCTTCACCCCCAAGAACCTCGCTCAGTGTCTGCCACCCAGTCACACTCCTCTCACACCGGACCCTTCCTGTCCCGATGGCACGCCCCACGCCTCCGACCACAGAACTGGTCAGAACTCGGGCCTTGTATCAGTTGGGTTGGCCAAAAGTTCGTTTGGGTCTTTCCCTGAGATTTTTTTCTTTTTTGTCAATTCAATATTTGTTTCTACATCTCTTTTGTCTCCCCATTCTCTCCTTTTCAGTTCAGTCGCTCAGTCGTGTCCGACTCTTTGCGACCATGGACTGCAGCACACCAGGCCTCCCTGTCCATCACCAACTCCCAGAGCCTGCTCAAACTCATGTCCATCTAGTCGGTGATGCCATCCAACCATCTCATCCTCTGTCGTCCCCTTCTCCTCCTGCCCCCAGTCCCTCCCAGCATCAGGGTCTTTTTCAATGAGTCAGCTCTCTGCATCAGGTGGCCAAAGTATTGGAATTTCAGCTTCAACATCAGTCCTTCCAATGAACATTCAGGACTGATTTCCTTTAGGATATTCTCCCACAAAAGCTCATTTCTCTTCATGGGGAAACACACAGACCGCTCCTCGCTTCATGAACTCAAAGCCAGTTTACCCTCAAACGGGAAATAAAGTCCCTCAGACACACCCACCTTCTCTAAGAGACAGGTTGCTGCCTTCGTTAGTAACTGCTTTTACAACGAAGATCCTGCTTTCTTGTAACTTTCGACTTCTGGACGCTCAAAACAACTAGAACAGGAGCGG